GAGTGTATGGTTGATCGATCGATACATATGCCGACTTGTCGGCTATGGACCTTTTCTGGGTTTCGCTTAAACTAGATAGTGAGATGAGTCCTTCTTTTCTCCCCCTGGGAGTGAGTGATCGGACGTAGCCAGGGGCTATGGCCCTTGAGACAGTGCCGAGAGGGAGTTGGCATGTCGACTGAGCGATGGTATGGGGTGTGGTATGGTGATGGTGTGGAGACGGTAGTATTTCGATCCCAGGATCGAAACCTGGCCCTAGAATGGGAATGGGGTGGAATGTGTGTGGAAATGGTGTTAAAACTTGACCAACTATTAATATATACTTGAAATGCTAATACATAGGAAACCCCAACCTTATAGGTTCCTTTTGATTATATCCAACTTGCATCCAATTTCTACAAAACAATGCTCATAGGGTGGGAGTGGCCAGTACAAATCGTACTAATAAATTTTGGCACACAGGTTCTACTGAGGAGTATAGCTCTGAGGAGTTTGACGGTTAAGGGGTTCGTTCCTACGCTCGAGTTTGACGATCTTATCTTCAAGCTGTTCTGAATAAATGCTACTTTTTATTCCGCCAATACGGCGATATAATAGTTTATGTAATTCTGCACTATTTGTACTCTGATATTATCGTTGTATGGATGTGATATTCGACTGGAATTTGGGTAATATGATCTACAACGGTCTTATTACACTTCGACTCTGAGGATTTCCTTTCGTGGAAATCGGGGTCGCTTCAGCTTTCCTCATACTTACCATGTATCTGATCCAAGGCTACCTTCAAACCAGACCACACTTTTGAGTACTTCAACTTTATTCTAAAGTCACCCTCTAATTTTTTTTCTTTGCCTCCTTTGCTCCCTTTGTTGGGTTATTCTTAACCCAATCTCCAATCCTATCTGCACACCAGCCTTGACTGGCCATTTTCCCTTCTCTTAGCTTGGTGGTAGGACAATTATGGGCAGCAGGATGCTTTTTGATCTACAATAGCATAGGGTAAAAGAAAATGTTAACAGACAATAATACATCAAAAATCAAAAAATAAATATTAACAGAGACAATGATACATCACAAATCTTAAAGCTCCTAAAATGTATTCCCTCATCAGCACACTTTGCTATGAACCTTTGCTTGTCACTTTTGTAACCATGAGCAAGCTCAAACCCAGTCTTCACAACATAATGTCTTAATGATTTCCTGAATGAAATGATATCAGGAAATAGCTCCCCCTTCACAATCTTTGAGTTCTCAGGGTCATGCAATACCCTGATCTCTAGAGGATCAGCATCATCCACATCTACCTCAACATGGACAAAGTCATCAGATGGATCAACAGTAGCATGAGTGTTAGCATTGTCAAATGGTTGTGGCTGTGCAAACTCAGTAGGTGGCGCTTCATCATACATGGCCTCATCATCAACTCCCACGTATTCTTCATCGTTATCAAAGATATCTGGCTCTCTGGCTACCTCTCTATCTGGCTCTAACTCATCAGCCACCTCTGAATTCTCAGGAGAAGCACATGGCAAGGTTGTTGGCTCAGTACCACCACTACTGGGTTGTTTAGGCATGTTAGCATCATGAGTGCCTAATTCTGCTGCATCATCATGAGGAACCACACAGAGAGGCTGCAGTGCATCAAACTCAGGTTCCACATAAATTGCACTATCAAATACACCTACTATAACTTGGCAGCTCATCTCCTCCTTATGCATTTCAAACAAATCAACCATCTGTATCTCATCAACTAGTCTGACATCCTCATTCAATCTTTTGTCAAAGAACCAAACAGTGGGTGTCTGGTTAGTGCAAAGATTCATTTCAGTTGACAGATGTTTCAACAGCAAGTCTAGTGTCAGTGACCCATACTCCACATCTTAAACACTCGGCCTTTTGTGTATGATTTCCTACCAGTCGAGTCTTTGGAAGCAAAAGCTTCGACTTTAACCTCTAGCGCAAACATCCCACCCCTAAAAAGCAGTAAATGCATCCCTAAATCAAATGCACAAATCATCAGAATACCAACTAATCGCCAACTGTAAGACGAAGGATGCAGAAAGGGTACCTGCTACCGTTGTCCTCCATCACCACCGGAGCAGTGGACGCGCACAGAGGCGCTAAGACTAAGCTCCCCGCCATCAGGGTGCCTCCATCACCTCCAGTGGACGCGAGGTTAGGGTTTGTCTCCGTCGCCACCACCTCCAATCACCGCCGCCAACCACTCCTTGATTCGCCGCCACCGCACACGCCTGGTTCGCCGCGGAAAGAGATGGGGTTAGGGTTTGGTCGGAGGGATGAGGGGAGAAGAAGGGACGGTGGCACGGGTGTGCGGCAGAGAAGGGGGAAGAAGGCGAGAGAAGAACGGGGGCGACTGAGAAGAACGGCGACGTGCTGCCTTATCGTCTGGTACAGGGGCATTACGGCCCAATACCGAAATACGGCGCCTACAGGTGGGCCCATCTACGCTCCAGACGTAGCAAAGGGCAAGAGAGAGGGAGAACCAGAATAGCAATGGCAAATTTCCAATAAGACGAAAAGTAATGACGTTGTTAGAAACTTGAGAAATTATAATGGCAAGAATCAAATAACCCATTTTTTTCACCTGCCTTTCAGCTTACCCACCCACCTGTACCGCTCCCCACGGCACTTGCACGCTCGCCTCCCTCCGATCTGCTCGCCCTACCCCAGCCCCCGGAGCAGCCGACGGCGCCAAGCCCCTGCACAAGCCCGTCTTCACAACCGTCGACCAGCTGTGCCCCCAGACGCACGACCACACCCTCACCGCCCGCGTCATCTCCGCCCGCACCGTCCTCGACAAGGCCTCCACACACCTCGGCCGCACCCGCGTCGCCGAGTGCCTCGTCGGAGACAGCACCGGCTCCGTCCTCGTCACCGCTTGCAACGAACAGGGTATGCGCTTCCTGCGATCCATCTGCCGCTCTTCCTTTCTCTTGCACACAAGCCTGCTGTGTCCGGAACGACGCCTCCCACTTCTACTATCCGCTAATCAGCTCCTATCTTGGATCCATCCATTAGGTCTCTCGTCTCCATCCTCCAAGTAAGATCATTTGGCTTGATTGCTGGTTTTTCTTTGCACAATGGATTCTGAGAAACAACCGCAAACAGTTGAAAATCTTAGACAATTAGCTTCTGGTACATCGATTAATTATTCCAGTAAATAATGCTCTGTCGTACTCAATGTTCGTCAGTTCTACTGTGACAGATAACTTTTCTGCTTATGTTTTTCATGCTTAATCTTTGTTCACTTTAGCTCAGAGCAATGACTTTGCCCTTATTCTATTTACCTTTTATGAAGACTTAAGGTCAATGATCATGAGATTCAGACTAATCATGGCCCAAAATAGTCGAGAAGGTTGTCCTGCTCCAGAAGAAGGCATAAGCTGTTAGGCTGCTGCTTCAGCACATAGCTGCATCAGAACTTTAGAAGTCTGAAATAAATCAGCCAACTGTCAATACCAATCTTTCTTATTTTATTACTTATTCTAGTTAATACTGGAGGCCCTTTGTCTAGAACAAAACTTCCATCATAACACGTACTACATTGGGCTACTCACATACCGATTTCTAAGTTTGAACACAACCTGTACTAATAGGTGACCAGATGTATTGTGTCATATTCCTTTTTTTAGCTTAAATAACCTATCCATGTAGAACAAAATAGGTGTGTAGAAGAAGGACGAGAAGAAGGCGCACAAGAAGGAGCTCAATGATCTGTTCACTTCGTCATCAGCAACCCAAGGTCCCTTGGTACGACCTCCTTCCCTTTTGTTGTGTTTATGCATCTTATGTTGTCTATCACTTGACTGTAGCTTTGAGATTATTAATCACGCCAAGTAAGGTATGTATAACTTGAGCTCTCCAGACCAAAATATTCAAGATTCAACTAACAGCCTGTTCGCTTGTTGGTTTCAGTCAGGGCTTATCAGCCAGCCAACAGTGTTTTCCTCTCACAACAAACCAGTACCAGCCGGACTTATCAGTCTAGAAACCAACCAGCGAATTCTCTTTCTCTGTCATGAATTGAGAAACCTGTGTGATCTTTCCGGAAATTCACTTATTGGCAGTGGATTTAGAACTTTAATAGGTGTAGGTGTGATAATAATAGATAATGTGTACCAAGGTCACCCATCAAAACCAATATTTTGTATCAAGCTTCAGATCCACACATGTACGGTCATTTATTCTTTTTTTCTTTCTTTCAAGCGGAAATTAAACCCAACTCAGTGTTTGTGATCATCACATCGATGGTGGTATGATCCCATATTTTTAGGATAGATCTTCGGTGCCCTTCCATTCAAGGTGTGGTTTGTATGTTTATTTTAAATTGTCTTGACATTTAAGGGTTATTATAATTATGTTGGACAACTACAGTAAAAAGGTTGGGTCAGTTAAAAAATATTATTTTACACAGAATGCATAGCTACCAATTTCCATTCCATTTCATGGCGTATCTCACAGGACACAACAAAATGGGACAAAAAAATTGCAGAATAAAGGATGAAATATATTATTTATAGTTATAATATCTAGAGGGGATAAGAAATTTGAAAAAAATGAAAATAAAGACACATGAGGTCTCATGGGACACGACAAGAGGGGAATAAAAAATAGAAAAACTAAAGGATGGAGTATATTATCTCACGGGGCACAACAACATGGGATAAAAAACTAGAAAATAAAAAAGATGAAATATCATATATAGTTATTAATATTGAAAGGGGATAAAAGATAAGAAATTTAAAACTACTCGCAATTGTGGTTTCACGGGACGCAACAAGATGAGATAAAAATACGAAAACGAAAGAAAAATGTATTATCTACAGTTTATTTTTAGAGGGAACATAAAATATAAAAATTGAAAATAAAGCCAAATGATGCAAGCTGCAGAGGTTTGAACTAACGACCTCTTAGTTGCAACATCGAGGGTCTTACCATTGGATTGACAAAATGTATTGGTAACCTACTTACAAATTCTTTTATATAAGGAACAATAATCCATTGCTAAGTAGTACAAGGCTGCCCCACAGGGTATGCCGTGGCCCACCTGGCATACCCCGTGGGTCCGCCCCTGACGCGTGGGACCATGCAATAGGGTACTCGCCGACGTCATCACCAGTTATGCGCAGCGCGTCCCACACGGCCTGGGACGCATCGACGATGTTGGGACGGCACGGCGGCTGGTAGCCGTGCAGGGAGTCGCACTCGTCCACGACCTTGGCGAGCACGGACCTGCCCTTGGCCCTGATCCGTATGCTGTCCCCGCAGCGCTTGCCCTCGGCGTACCACCCCGTGGAGAGCGCCACGACGCGCTCCGAGTTGCTGTGGAACTCGCCGTCGCACTCCGACGGGTCGCCTCCCTCGCCGCCCTCCGTGAAGTTGTTGAGCGTCATGATGGCCTTGGTGCCTCCCCCCAACCCCGAGACCACCGGCGGCGAGCACCGGTACGTCTTATAGGAGAGCCCGGCCTCGCAGCAGTCCTCGCAGGAGTGGTTCTGGGTCGGCAGCAGCGTGCCGACCGGCTGGCACTCGTCGTCGTCGGCGAGGTTGTGGCGCTGAGCAGGGTCGCCGCCGCGGCAGAGGTTCGGGAAGGCGACTAGCACGAGGCCTGCTAGCGCGAGCACGAGGAAATTGGTGGTGATCGACATCTTGCCATCCATCTGTTTGTGGCCTGTGGTCACGGTCAGGCGGCCTGCGGCATTAATTTTTTATGGCGTGGGAGCGTGCGGCCGGGCTACGTACATCGGTACATGCTTCCACATCGGTACAGGATACGCACATCGGCCAGGCTGCGTGTTTGGCTCCCTGCGTAACCGCACAAGCCACAGCTGTTAGCCTTTGGTTTACTCCTACCAGATTTCTGCCTCCTAAACTAGTCATGAGCACCGAGACTGCAATTCACATAGGCCAACTACAGTGTACCTTTACTCCCAACTACAAGTAATGCTTCCAGCATCAGGTCTTGACCGACTGCAACCTGACCGTAAAATCTTTAGCTTCACAGACTAAAACCATTAAATAGCAGTCTTCCTCCTAATATTTCCTGTGCTCATTTACATCATCACCATCTTTGTCCTGTCCAAGATGCTCTCTTGGTTGTAAACTCTGATCTTCATAAACTATTTCCAATCGATTTCAAAGTTCAAACACAGTTTTTGCAACTGCCTCTATCTTGATGCTGATGAAATGAGACAGTTTCAAGGACAGTTCGCAATCGTCCTTGAAAATAAATTTCTAGGAGAGCGCCGCCACGTTACGAACCGCACATGAAAATGCATTTAAAAGAACCACAAACAAATACATGGCCACGCCCAAAAAGTAGAAAAAAATCCTTCACGCCCAAGTAGCCATCGCAATATCTCGTGCCACAAGTCATATGGGGCGTGATTGGTTGCTCCGAGGTCGGCGAGCCGGAACGGAGTGCCTGTGCAGGCTCTTTCCAATCATGATGAGACTATACACTTTGTTGTATTTGGTTGTCTTTGTTGTTGTCCAATACGAGACGAGGTCGTGTTTGGTTGCATGCATGCATCAAAGTTTGACACATGGGCCCCTGCACCATGCGTGAATCAAGCCGTTCTGGCTCGCGAGGGAAGTGGAAATCGAGAAGATAGAGGCGTGCGGGGTGGAGGAGGGCAGAGGTATGAGACGAAGCAGACAAAACGTGCGAGGAGGGGAATCAAATACGGCCGTAGTGCACTGAGCGGTGCCGGATGGGCCTTTGGACGGCCTGAGCGGCATGGGCGGCGCCAGGGGTATGCCCCTGTATGCCATGGAATATCCATGATTTTGGAACAAAACAAATATAGTATACATGTATATAATGGTACACTATGTTGGTATATGTTAGCCCAATAAAATGGAACGACCAGCAGTAGCAACCCACGAAGTCACGTATACTCCAGAATTTCTCAAAAAAAAAAAGAAAGTAAGGCAGAAACGATCGACATCTCCCGATGCTCCGTGCCCCCGTCCGTCGCTGGCATCGAGCCATCCATCGGAAGCGCCGGCGGCGTAGACTAACGACACGAAAGCACCTCTCCAGGCCCCCTCGCCCCACATCGTGCTCCGAATCAAGCCGCTCGCCCATTGACCGGGCAATCGGCGCCTGAAGTGGCGGTCGAGAAGATAGACAAGGCGTGCGCCGGTGGAGGAGGCTGCAGAGTAACAAGATCCCTCCACCCGATCGCCCCTCCGCATCAGCCCTCTCCCGTTTCAGCTCAAGCAAGGTAAACACAAACACCGCGATCCATTCTTAGAAGTCCAGAGAATTGGAGATTTCATTTTCTATTTTTCTCATTGTATTCTGGTAACGTAGAATATGGCACTATGCCACTACTACGTTTAGAACTTGTACTCTGCGTATTACTATCGCATATTTGCACTTCGCTTATTACTATTGTATATTTGTATCGAGAAAAAAATTTATACATGGAATACCCTGCCGTGAAATCCTGGCTCCGCCACTGCTGAGCGGGGCAACCAGTCACGCCCATGGTTTTTCATGGTGTGTGTGCATTCTTGAGGATTCAAACCCACCATTAGGGATGTTTTTTCTATTAAGTTCTCTAAATCTTGTAGGTTATGCTTGGTTGCTTGCATTAGTTTGTATCCGGACTTACTCAGTGCAAGTGTGCAAGTTACTCGTGTCTAATTGCCTGACCCCTTATGCAAGATTGCACAATCCTCATAGCAATCCCATGACTGCATTAGTTCATACTTCATATGTCAGATTTCTTCATATTGAACAATGCAAATTAAATTTGCCCGAGCAAATGGGCACATAAAATGAAATATCCTCACTTGCCCATGAACCCCGTCTCAAATAGAACATGAAGGCAAGGGCAAAGCTACATATATAAGCAAGGCAACGAGGGTGCATCCATGCCAAAAAAACAGTAATTATGATTAAAAAAACATTCATCATATACGTACACACCTCGTGGTAAAATCTTTGTACCACAAGACAAGGTACCTCCGAATTTACTCTTCCTCTATCCCTGCATGGAGCTGACGACATGCAACATAATCCAAGCAATCCAACACAATGCATTTCTGATGTATATGAGGACAACCAAACAATCACATATTGCATACATTTGTACTGGCTTAGGTTGCTACTACACAAGGTCTAATATGGGGTAAGACTAATGCAAGCAATTAGCCACACCCATATTGAAATTTGAGCCTTCAAACTATCTCAGGAAAACAGTTATCAAAGATTTCATCCATAACTGCAACTTGGTTAAGCGTGTCTTCAGGAAATGACGCCCTTTCGCTGGCTTATCCGGTCCGGGTCCGGGAGCTGAAAAAAAAAAAGAAAAGAGCAATGGAGTTGGGGGGATCGAACCCCGTGCCTCTCGCATGCAAAGCGAGCGCTCTACCATTTGAGCTGCATCCGCAACTGACAACGCTTACTGTAATGTAATTTCTTAATTCAAATCATTAGGCAAACGCGGCGAATTATGATGAGCCCACGAAGACGAGGGGCAAGTCGCGGCCCGCATGCCATCTACGCTCCGGACAAGCCGTGCTCTTGTGGGCTGGGCTACGCCGGTTTGCGAAAGCCGAAAGCCCGTAATGTGCCCATGGTAAAGACACAAACGACGCGCTAGTTGATTCTCAAAAAAAAAAAAAACGCGCTAGTCTAGTTCTTGACTGTACACCATTTACGAACAGCAAAGCTGCCAAGGGCTCCAAGTGTCAGAACGTCAAGAAATCCAGAATCGCCGGCCGAAGCAATGCCGGAACAAATCTACGTTGGGGACTTTTCAGACGAACTGGTCGTTGTCTGATTGCTCCCTTTGCTAGCTAGCTAGTAGCTCGATAGCATGGAGCTAGTAGTGCAGCAGGTGCAATTTTGACATTTTGTTACCAAGGCCTGTTTGCAGGCAGACAAGTTCCACCCGTTCTGTAACGCTGTCTCGTACTTTTCCTGTAGACCAATATGAGGATTGAGGAAGACAGAGTAAACCATTTCTTGGTTGCAGTTTTCCAGCTACAATGCTCGTCCTCCTACCGGCAAGCCAAAGCCAGGCAGCGTGAACAACAGTGACCTGTACAACTACTGTACAACTAAACTAAATAACTAATCCTCAGGTCCAAGTGTGCTCTTCTGAAATCCTGCTTAACTATATGTTATCTATTTATCTACTGTCAACCATGCTCCATGAGTCTGACACCTAACCACATCAACGCAGGCACAATCTTCCAATGCAAAATGAATGTCCCGTTCACTTGGCTGATAAGCCATGAAATACTATTCGTTGGCTGAAAAAGTCGAACTTATAAGCTGTGCGAACGGGGGTGGAAACACCCATGAACTACCCGCAACCATGCCCCCCCCCCTGGGCTCCTAGTTAGCTAGCTCCAAATCTTTTGGTGTGGTTTGAGAAAGCACACCAAGTATGATCCGATAAGATAAGTGGGGTGCCAACGCAACCGCAACCCTGTCCCCCTGCCCCTAGGCTCCTAGCGAGCTCCAAATCTTTTGGTCTGGTCTGAGAAAGCACACCAAGTATGATCCGATAAGATAAGTGGGGTGCCAATGCAAGATTGGCAGTTGGCGATGTCAGGACAGGAGAGATGCAACCTGTTCACACCTGCAACTGCAACTGCAAGCAAGCTCCTATAGCACCGGAGATCACAGCACAGCGATCCAAAACCCAACGACAATCAGATATGGTTCCCAGTAGAGTACTGGCGCACCGAAAAGCTCCCCAGACCTGCAGGAGCTGCCGGTCCCGACTCCCGCCCCCAACATATATACAGGCAGCTGCTACCTCTTGCATGCTCACACTGTCACCAACACCGAACGATCCAGACCCTCCAACGACTGCCACGGCGTGCGGCGCACGAGCACACGCACTTGACAAAGCCAGCAGCCGCTGCTGAGAGCCGAATCAGCAGTGACACGGAAGGGCATGTTGCTGCTAGCTGCTGCAGCAAGTGTATGCAATGTAAGCCGGGGGACCCTGAGCGCACCACGCCCGGTCGGTCGGCAACGTCGGATCGCTCGAGCCTTTCATGTGCTTTATACTGGAACGCACAAACCAAGCAGAAAAGCTGCCAGTAATAGCTAGCCCGTGTTAATCTAGCGCATTACATTACATTACATTACGCAGGGAAAGGAACCAACCCATCCTTATCTGCCGGGGCCGGGGTGGAGTGGAGTTGGATAGGGATGGGAAGGTGGAGCCCCCGCGCACGCACGCACGCACGAGCGAGCGAGCCGACGAGCCCAGAGGCCAGATCGAGGTAGCCCACGCATGATTGGCGATTTCCCCGAGTAATTAATCTGCGATGGCATCGGCTGCAGATGCTTTCCGCCGTGCTTTGGCCGCCTTTACAACAGGCACGGCCGCCTTTTGCCGTCGGACTGCAACTGCAGCCGCGGGTGCGTGGAGGTCAATGTCAAAAGGCTTCTCCGATCGATCCTTTTCCTTTCGTTGTGACTGAAATCTGCGCAGCGCAGACGACGTTTAATTTGGATCATTGCAAAGGAGGTAAGGCCACCACTAGGAGGAGCATGCATCAGGAGCTAGCTGGCTGATGATGGCCGATGATGAGGGAGCCATGGCCCATGGCTTGGCTTGGCTTTCTATGGTCTCGCTCCCACGGTTGCTGCACCTCCTCATTAAGGAAAGAA